TGCCAGGCTCCTCTCCCCATGGAATTCTCCAGGGAAGAATACTGAAGTGGGTTGCCATTTCCCGCTCCAGGGGATCTTCCCAATCCAGGGATCAAATCTGTGTCTCCTGCATCTTCTGAGTTGGCAGACAGGTTCTTTACCACTAGCACCACCTGGGAAGCCCATCATAATTTCTACTATTCCTTCATTGATGGACATCTAGATTTCTATTATTTTGCTCTTATAAAAACACTTTCATGTATTCTCAAGGACATCAAAAAGTGGAATGGCTAGATAGAAAAGTATATATGTTTACAATTAAAAAAATGATTTAAAAATATTTTATTAAATTCAATTTACTGCAATTTTACTGCTCTAAGTGGTCTAATGTTATCCTCTTCCTGTCTTTGGTCTCTTTTCTTCACTCCTCGGGAAGTGTGAGTATTGGCCTAATTGGATCAGACTTCAGGATGCTGACCAAGTTTACGTCCATCAGGTGTGTTTCTCCCTCTGTCACTTAGCTCTTTCACAAAAGGGACAAGAGAGCAGCCAAACCAGAACTTACATCTTCTGGTGGGCAAACACTCCTCTCTTCCTCCACATCAGCAGTATCACACGTTTGCCCCTCCAACTTGGCAAGGATCTGGAAGAGAGACCTGAGCTGCGAAGGAGAGACCCTAGACTTGTGCCCGAGTCCTATGCCCTGCAGGTCACCCTGCCTTAGGTTCATGCAGTGTAGTGCAGTGGTTAGTTGCTAAATCATGTCCAGCTCTTTTGCAACCCCATGGACTGTAGCCTACCAGGTTCCTCTGTTCGGGATTTCCTGAGCAAGAATACTGGAGTAGGTTGCCATTTCCTTCTCCAGAGCATCTTCCTGACCCAAGGATCAAACCCACCTCTGCTGCTTGGCAGGCAGATTCTTTATTACTAAGCCACTCCCTAAAATGAGGAAATGGCTTATTTCCCATTGCCCTTGTTCACTGTGTCTACTCCGATCCTCAGGAACCACGAGAAGAGGATGACCCAGTCAAGGCAATATTCAGACACATTCCTGAAGATTTTTGCATATGATCAAAGTCTCATTCCAGGAGTGCTGGTTTTGCCAGCTTTTGGTATAAATATCTATTTTGAAGAGTGATCTAAAATGCTCAGGTGTTTGGGACTTCTTGTTTAGATAAAATATTTATCTAAGCCTTAATTCAGTGATTGGGATATGACTGTAGACTCAAAGGCATCTAGTTTATTGAAAAGCAACACTGCATTGCAAAGGGGTTGATTAACAGGAAGTGTGGGAAGGAGGGGTGATTAGAAAATGGATGTGTTTTATTCCATTTAAAACTGAAATGTGTTCTGTTAAAAGCCCATTCAAGTCTAGTGAGGTTTTCACTGTGGCACTAATATCCAGTTCTAAATGAACACTGTACAACTGAGACGACAGAACATTTCTTATGGAGAAAACTAAAGCCAATAATTGATCATCATAGCACATAATTAAGAGGGTGAGGTGTTGAAGCAGGTTGCCTGGGTTCAAATTCTTGGGCTACCATTTATTTGCTGAGTAATTTTGGACAAGCTGCTTGGGCTTATGTCTCAGTTTACTTGTCTGTCAAATGGGGATAATCATGGTATCTTCCTCCTGGAGCTTTTGTAAGTATTGAATGAAGTGACATATTAATAGTGCTTAGAACATTGCTTGGATTTCAAGAAATTCTAGCTGTTATTTTTAAATGTTGATTAACACTGAACATTGTTGTTCAGTTGCTAAGTTGTGTCTGACTCTTTGTGACTCCTTGGACTCCAGCACGCCAGGCTTCCCTGTTCTACATTACCTTCCAGAGTTTTCTCAGACTCATGTTCATTGAGTCAGTGATGCCGCCCAACCATCTCATCCTTTGTTGCTCCCTTCTCCTCCTGCCCTCAATATTTCTCAGCATCAGGGTCTTTTCCAATGAGTTGGTGCTTCATATCAGGTGGCCAAAGTATTGGAGCTTCAGCTTCAGCATCGGTCCTTCCAATGAATATTCAGGGTTATTTCCTTTAGGATTGATTGGTTTGATCTCCTTGCAGTCGCAGGGACTCTGAAGAGTCTTCTCCAACACCACAGTTCAAAAGCATCAATTCTTTGGCTCTCAGCCTAGCAATTGTCAAAGGGCAGAACAGTTATGCTTAAAATCTCTGTTCCTCAAGAAAGATGTTAGACTGAGGGCTGCAGACCTGCATTCACTCCCCACACAAAGAAGAGTGAACTGAAGAACATCACGCTATGTACAAATGTCTCTTTGGACTGTGCCTTCCCTGATGTCTCAGGCAGCCCATGGCAGCCAAACTCCCTAGACCAACAGCACCATCCAAGGTTCAAGAGCAACTGTTGCCTGATTCAGGTGCTTCACTCCCCATTGCCTCCTTCCTCTTTAGGAGTGCTTCTGTGTTAATTCTATCTCAGATTCATCCTCACATATGTACACAATTCCCTTGGATTAACATTTTACTTTTTCTCTGGTTCCAGGTTTTGTGGTGGGCTCAGGAAAATTGCTTTTCCTCCTCTTGTTTCATTTATCACCCTCCCTGCCCCTCACCTACGAAGATTCTGCTCATGATCATAAGCCCAGTAGTGCCAGTGATAGGCTTGTTTAAGAAAAAAGAAAAACCATTCAACTAGAAAAGTAAACAGCACAAAGGTCAAATAACAATGTAAAGGGTTGTCACACTTGGACATGGTGCCAAGAGTGTGGTACTGACAACTGGTGCTCTAAATCTGGACAGGTGGAAAGAAATGATTGGGGCTAGAGCGTCCTGAGGGCCGACTGAAGACAGGGGCTTGAGCTGGCCCTGTAGGTTCTGGGGGCTGTGGCTCCCAAGCGGTGGTAATTCAGGTGAAGGGGGTGTCGGAGTAGAGGCATCTGTGGTCAGAGGCAGGGACCACATTTGTCTCTCCGCTGGAGAGTTTGAGTTGTGGGCAAAGAGGCTGAAAGTAGATGGTCCCTGAATGGTAAACTCAGGTTAAACTTTACTTCCCAGGTGGCGCAGTGGTAAAGAATCTGCCTGCCAATGCAGGAGATGTAAAAGAGGAGGGTTATATCTATGGGTGGGGAAGATCCCTTCGAGTAGAAAATGGCAACATACTCCTGTATTTTCACCTGGAAATTTCACAAGCTACAAAACATGAACTCGCAAAGAATTGGACATGACTGAGAGTGCACGCGCATGTGCGCACACAGACACACACAGACACACACACACATACATTACTTTAAGGATGGGAGTGAAATTATAGATGTCTATTACTAAGGTTGAAGGTAGGATACAAAATATGTATAAAATGCAAATTCAAAACAAAAGTGTAAGTGTTCAGTCCAATGGCATATTGCAACTGTGCTAAAGGGTTTTGTTTTGTTTTGTTTTAATATTTATTTATTTGGCTGCACCAGGTCTTAGTTGAGGCATGCAGGATCTTTCGTTTTGATATGTGGGATCCAGTTTCCTGAGGGATGGAACCTGTGTCCCCTGCATTGGAAGCGCAGAGTCTTAAGCCTAGTAGTGCCAGTGATAGGCTTGTTTAAGAGAAAAGAAAAACCATTCAACTTGAAAAGTAGATAGCACAAAGGTCATATAACTTCTCTGGAGCACCAGAGAAGTTCTGCTAAAGATATTCTTACTCCAGACCACTCAGCAAACAAAAATGAGTTGAACTCCCCTAAGGCTGGCTGAACTGAAGTTCCTATCAGCAATGCAGTATTTCAAAATGATTTCAACTTCTGCACACTTTTCTGTCTACAATTTAAATAACTAATGTTTCCTAAGAATGTATGCTTACAGGCATATAAACATAATTGACAGAAGTATAGAGTCACCTGCAGTGACTTGCATGTCAAGAGACAAGTGTCACAGGGAAAGGAGAGTGCGTGGGATGAAGGTGGGGACAGGATGAGGGCCCAGCGTAACAGCATGAGGTAGTGGGTTTGGCAAAGTGGCTGCTATATGCTCTGCCTCACCCACAGCGACCTAGGAATACAAGCCTGGCAGGGTGTGGGCAGCAGGGTTTAATGTGGCATAGGCAAACGTGGGCATGGCCACTGTGCTACTTGCCTTCTGAACAGAATCTTCAGTACTGCTGAGTTTCTGTTTGTTTTTGGGGTGCAAATGGCAGGTGTCATTTGCTGGGACAGTAGTATACAATCTAATAATTTTGTGTAATGATTTATGATCTGAGAGCAAACCTTTCAATACTTTTAAAGTTACAAAGGCATTCAAAGAATATAGGAAAAATAAACTCCTGTAGATGAGGTAGACTTTTCTGTTTGGGACAGAATTATTCAGTTCTAATATTAACTATGTTTTATTAGATCTCCGAGCCAAAAATTTACAAAAAAAAAAAAACAAAAAACAAAAAACAGCCAAAAATAATCCGGTCACTTCTTGAATTTTAAAATCTAAGACACAATATTAACTATGTTTTATTAGATCTCCGAGCCAAAAACTTACCCAAAAAAACCAGCCAAAAATAATCTGGTCACTTCTTGAATTTTAAAATCTAAGACACAATAACTCAACACCTAGTAAAACAATACTTGCCTGTGGGGTCTTATTAAGGATTTAAAGATGCTTTTCATAAACACAATTTTATTTCCGAGTGACTGAAAAAAAATTCACGTCTTGCTCTCTTTGCTTACTCATTGTTACAAATAAAAATAAGGGTTAAAAATAAAGCCAAATGGAGAAAGTAATGCCTATAGGAATACTCACATCCAATAGAAAGGAGAGATTTTGGTAACTGCAGCCCCTACCCCGCCCCTCTCCAAAATTACAAACTTGCAAGACTACAGTTCACAGTTCTTCAGGTCCCTCCGTCTCAGCTGGACCCCCACACCCGGCCGCGAGCCGCGCCCAAGCATCGACTCCCAGCGCCTCCTCGGAGCCCCGCCCCTTCGCCCCTGGCTCCGCCTCCGCGCGGGCACGAGCTCCATGGGCGGGGCCGGACGGGGGAGCCGCGCCGTGATTGGAGGTGTCCGAGCGACAGGCGCGACGCTGTGGCCCCCAGGTCGCGCTCGGGTCACAGAGAAACAGAACGGCTGGAATCCTTTCGCGCCAAGCTCGGACACTTAGCCCGCTGGAGTCGCTCTTTATCAACCGAGATGCGTACCTCGCCAGTCCTCCCGGGCCGGAAGGCCCCCCAAGCAGGGGAGGGTGGCTGCTGACGGAAACCGCCTGGTCTTTCACCTGACAGGTTGCCTCGTAAGTGCTGACTGCTGTCCCCTCACGTCAGAACCCCTGAGGCGCCGAGGTTGCTAACAAGCTGCTGATGGAAGCCTTGGAATCCCACAGTTTACGAGCTGGATTGGCCCCCGCTTAGAGGAAAGCTCGGCGACTTACCCCGAGTCACTTAACTAATTCATACCAGGGTCAGACCCAGAAGCGCGTCCCGACCCCTAGAGCGCTTTGCACCGCCCCTCATTCCGGGGGGAAAGCTCGCCCCGGTGGTGGAGACCCAGCTTGGAAAATTTTTGTCTGTACTCTAGGCTGACAGTGATAAGGTGAAGCAGGTAGCAGTGTGCCAAATATTTAGACTGAATTAAATTATAATTAAGTCATGCATTGTGGTGGTGGTGGCCCCCTCAGCCCCATCCCGAGGTGTGAAGGGCCCTTCCCTCCCTGGCGCGGGCCGGCGCGCTCTGTTGAGACAGGCCCGGCTCCCCCACACCTCTCTGGGTTCAGCCCCGCCTACCCCACAGGACCGGCCTGCTCCCGCCGCCCACACTGCACAAGCGGACGGGGAGCCCCGTTTTGGTGCAGGGGGTAGCTCCAGGGCCGCTTCGTTGGTCGTAGGCTGGCTGGTGGGGTCGCGGCCGCCTGGGCCCATGGCGCTGGCCAACTTAGACTGAGATCCCGGTTGATGGGGCACGTCCACTGTGGCTACGTGGCCACCGTGGTCTCTGCCGCCTGCAAACCTCACTCAGCCAAGGGCTGGAGGGCGAAGTTGCAGGAGCGGCCTGGTACTGGTTTGGACCGGCAGCTTTCTGGAGTGCACCTTTCTGCTACAAGAGCAGTGGAAGCGAGGCAGGCACCCACTCTATCACCTGCTCAGTCACTGGCCGTCGCCACGGTGGGACGAGGGCTTCCCAGGCGACTCAGCTAGTAAAGAATCTGCCTGCCAAAGTAGGAGACGTGGGTTCCATCCCTGGGTCGGGAAGATCCCCTGGAGAAGGAAATGGCTACCCATTCCAGTATTCTTGCCTGGAGAATCCCATAGACAGAGGAACCTGGCAGGCTGCACTGTCCATGGGGTCGCACAGTCAGACACAAGGGAGCAGTAACATTGTCACTCAACCTCTAACCATACAGGACTGCTCTCTTAAGGCATGAGGCCTTCTGCAGGACTCAGCTCAGGGCGGCCATGGGACATCTCTTGCTGCCTGGTACCCAAAGACCCAGCAGCTCCAGGGTGGCTGTACCTAGAGCCCCTAGTTACCTTGCTGGGGGTAACTAGGCCAGTTTAAACAACTTTCTATATTTTTCCCAAACTTCTGCCTGCCTGCAGCTGCCAGCTCACACTTTCACTTCTCTCTCTTTTTTTCCTTTTTTCCATTTATACTTCCTCTTTCTATTTAGGAAAACCTTTTTCTATTTCCCAAAACTTTGGCTCTTGGATAGCTTTTAAAACTTAGGGAAGTGCTCAACTGGAATTTGTTATTTCTAACTTCTGGATTCCTCTATATTGTAATAACCTCAGATAAAGAAACTCAGTTATAATACTAATCATAATAACATAGTCAGAGCTGGAAAATGTCTGTTTAAAGAGACAGCTATTTCCCACACTGTGAATCTTCGCCTTGTTTGGAACAATCAGGATTCTCAGTAATTCTGAGTGATCAATTTAATTCAACTCAACACCTGTACAAAGTACCTGCTGTATGTAAGGCACTGTGCTGAGGACATTCATGTGGTTTCTTCCCTGTAGTAATCGAATCTACTTTCAATCTGGGGAGGACGTACCTGAAGTAGCCAAGGCCATATGGGTGGAAGATCCAAGCAAAAACTGGGGCTTTCTCAGGGGGAGGTTGCAGGAGTTTGATGAGGCCTCTGGAGAGGCTTAATGGGGGAGATGGGATTGGAAATGGGCCTTCAAGGCTGAGATTCCATGCAGGGGAATGACCTGAGACCAGCTTAGAGGTAGGAAAACAGGTGGGCTCTGTGGAAGGATTGCTTTGTCAGTTCACTTGGCAACTTTGTTCTGGAAGCTTTCTTGCTTCTCCAGAGTACCTCTTACCCCATTTGAGAAGAATGATCTCTTCTGTTGGAGGTGCCCTTTCTCTCCTTTATTCCTTGTTTTCTCTGGATAAGTTCTGCTTTCTAAGCTTTCGTTTCCGAAAATATGGGTATTCTCACACTAAAAAGCCAAAAAAGTCAAGATGTGAATTAGGAGGACTCCTATAGGTTCTCTGATCCAACAGAGCCTACTCGACTTAAAAAAATTATTTAAAAAGATCATTTGAGGGACTTCCCTGGTAGTCCAGTGGCTGAGACTCTGTACTCCCATTGCGGGGGCCTGGATTCTAACCTTGATCAGGGAACTAGATCCCATATGCTGCAACTCGGCATGTGGCAACTAAGACCCAGTGCAGTCAAATAAATAAATAAATAATATTTTTAAGATAAATGAAAATCTTTCAAATGCAAAAGGAACTGGGGCATACACCTTAGCTGAAGGATTCAGTTATCCTTTGTTTGGAATTGAGAATATGTCCATTTGGCTTAAAAGCAAAAGCCATGGCTCTTCTAAAATCTTCTTTAAGCTTCCAAAATCCAGTTTAGCCTTAGTGAAGCAGTTTGTGTAGCTGTGCTCCTTTTTTAACCTCAGGCATGTAGCTCCCTTTCGCAAGAATATTACAGGAGGTGGATGAGTGTGTTTAGGAAAGAGAGAAAGTAACTGGAAATGATGAAATAGTAAAAAATATTCTGAGCTTCCTTTTTCTAGTTTCTGTAGGAACCATTGGCCAAATTTAAAAGTCCTTCAGCTGGCAGTCTTTGTTGGACAGATCTCAAAAAGAAAGTAGAAGCATATTAGTCTGCCCTTGTTGCTGTCTTCATATTCTCTGATTCTAAAGGAGGAGGAGGAGGATTCCAAACTTCATAGCTCTGGGAACTTTGGGACTTCCAAAAGGAGGTTTGGATAAAAGTGGGTATATGAAAAAGGGTAATAACTTTTTTTTAAAGCTTAAAAAGTCCATTTATTAGCTTACAAATAGTATGAAGAGTAACGACTTTTAAGGAATTTATTTGTACATAGTTCTTTCTGATATATCAAGTTCTCATCCACGCATTGACACATTTGTTCCTTGCGGGAGCCCTGGGAGTCAGGATGTGTTACCAGTGCAGAGAGGAGGAAATCACTTGCTTAAAATGGCAGAATGGACCTACACAGAGTTTTCATCCTTTATCTTCCAACTTCTACATGATGCTCTCTGAATACTATTGTAACATTCTCATCAAATTGAGCCTTAGTAGAAAAAAGATCTTCATCAAAAATATGAATTTGTTTGAAATTTGGAATTCAACGTATAGGGACAATACAAATTCATGTAAACCTTAAAATGGAAATCATTATCTTAATTTGTTATTTAGTTAGTTAGTTTTCAGCTGTGCTGGGTCTTCACTGCTGCTCGCAGGCTTTCTTTAGTTGTAACAAGTGGGGGCTACTCTCTAACTGCAGTATTTCTAATTGCAATGACTTCTCTTGTTGCAGAGCACCAGCTCCAGAGCTCAGGCTCAGTTACAGTGCACAGGCTTAGCTGGCCTGCAGCATGTGGAATCTTCCTCGACCAGGGATGGAACCCATGGCCCCTGCATAGGCAGGTGGATTCTTAACCACTGGACAACCAGGGAAGTCCAGAAATCATTATCTTTGAAAACTTGAAAATAAGTCATAAAGCTTATTGAGCCTGTGCATGTGTGCTTAATTGCTTCCAACACTTGGCGACCCCATTGGCTGTAGCCCGCCAGGCTTCTGTCCATGGGGATTCTCTAAGTAAGAATACTGGAGTAGGTTGCCATGCCCTCCTCCAGGGGATCTTCCTGACCCAGGAATCGAAGCTGTGTCTCTGATTCTTTACCACTAGTGCCACCTGGAAAACCCTTATTGAGCCTGAGCTCTGAGAATAAAGGTCAGTGCTCTGTCTTCAGTGAGGACCCAGGAGCCCTCCTGGACAGCAGTCCTGTTGTATGGAGTCTGTAGCCTTGTACCATAGGACCATGTGGGAAGAGGTCACTTATCACCATGGCAGAGTGGTAAAGAAATGGCTTTGATTTCTTCTTCTGCTTTACTGACTATGTCTCCTGAACATGTTCCAATTCCTCAAATGTAAGTAGGGTGGAACAGTGGGTAACTGATACCGATATGAAGAATTTGTGAGATAGTCTTTGAAAGGCTCAGTCCAGTTTCTGGCCAACAAATGGAAGTTGCTGCATGCAGTTGGATTTTTTTTTATTGTAAAGTCCACAGAACATAGACTCTGGAATGGAAGACCCGGGTTAGAATCTAAGCCACATACCTCCCACCACCCCATCCCCCACCAGCTGTGAGAACTGGCCAAGTTAGTTAAGCCGTCTCTGTGTTGGTTTCCTCATTTGTAAAATGGAAATAGTAGTACTACCTACTCCTTAGGTTACTGTAGGGAAAATGTATACTACACAGAAAATACACAAAGTTAAATAAACGTTTGCTAATAGTACATCTAACGTCTTTTCACAAAACCTCCCTAGCTTGGGTCCAGTTGATTTCTGTTTGACTAAATTTACTTGTCATAACAGGGATACTTTCTGGAAATAGGATGAGAATTTTAGAAATGGAAAGGGGAATTTTTCCATTGTTGGAAAATGTTGCATTCCAGGGAACCCATTTACATGCACCGCACATTCCTAGATACAAAGGGAAGCAGAGCTTTCTACTCTTTCCCCAGATTTTCAGGCCCTGCCTAAAGCAGTGGTGAGTGAGCTAAGATTGTATTACAGTCTCCTCACTCCATGTGTACACCAGCTTTATTTAGGCAGGTGTGAATCAGTTCAGTGTGTTGTATATTGTTTTAAGTTGGGCTGATCTCTTAAACTTTCTGGTTACTTGAGCCAGAAAGCCACAACTTTCAAGTAAAGTCCCCGAGAATGAAACATGGGATGGTGAATCCTTGTATTCACCACACAGAGAAAACTACTGTAAAATTGGCATATATCTTTCTCGATGTTTTTCTGAGTGGGGGTATGTACATATAGATATTGAATCTTATGGATACCTTTTAGTCATGCATTTAGGTATCTCTTTGCCAACAAGTATACAATTTTGTATTACTTTTACCTGTGCTAAATAGCATTCAGTGTAATGATTGTACTGTCATTTATGTTAAACCTGTCCTCAGTTGATATTAGCTTGTTTCCAAGTTTTCAGGAAGTCTGATTTTGACAATTGCCCTTACAGGAGGTTCCTGTGACTTAGATCCTAATTCAGAGATGGAAGTACCAGGCTCATCTTCCACCATCTCTGAGGACCAGACTCGGAGGCAAGAGGAGCTGAGCGACACTAGAACAGACTCAGTCAAGCAGAGTCTCATCTCATCTGAGGAGTGGCTTCAACTGCATGGGCTTAAGAGCAACAAATTGACCTTGAAACAGATTTTGTCACAGATTGGATTCCCACATTGTGAAGGTATTAATACAAAGTGCTGACTGGAAAACCCAAACATTATGCTGCCCTTTAGCCTTTGAGGAGGCGGCATCAGTTCTGAAGTCCCCTCAAAACACACGTCTCTGAGTTGTTTTTTTTTTTTAATATATTTATTTATTTGACTGTGCCAGGCCTTATTAATAGTCACAGCATGCGGATCTTTGAGTTGCAGCATGTAGGATCTAACTCCCTGACCAGGGATTGAACCCGGGTCCCCTGCATTGGGATTGCAGAGTCTTAGCCCCTGGACCACCAGGGATGTTCCTCTGAGTTTGTTTTTGTCTCACATCCTTATGGGTAAAAAAGATTTGTGCATGGACCCCCAATATATGTATATTATATAGATTTAGAATCATCAGTCCACCTATTAAATATTAGTAATACTTAATTTCATTCTTTCTTCTTTTAAAGATGAAATAAAACCTAAATATAAGTTATACCCCTCACACCCTGCAGATGTCTTGCTCCCGCCCTGGCATGTGCAAACCCCTTTTGTAGGCTCTGGATTAGGGTAATAGGTCTGTGTGGTTTCAGGGAGAACTCGCTATTTTCCTATTGTGGCCTGCTTGTGGTAATGGGCCAGTTTCTTCTAAATGTGTTGGTTACAATGTTGATTTTCAATTCCCAGGAGTATTGCCCTCCAACAGGGAGCAGGGAAATGTGTGAGGATATATATATATATATATATACACACACACACACACACATTGTTTGTTTGTTTGTTTGTTTTAATGACATGTTGACTTGAGTTGCTACTGAAATATAGGGCCTGGGTCAAGGATACTAGGATTTTACTCTGAATCCGTCAATCAATTAAATATATTTATTGAGCAGCCATTAATACTATGTTTTTCAGATTTTTAAGCAGTTCCCTCGGCAGCTTTGTTTTGGTAATAAGCAAGGTCTAGGAGAAAGAAATGGCAACCCACTCCAGTGTTCTTGCCTGGAGAATCCCAGGGATGGGGGAGCCTGGTGGGCTGCCATCTATGGGGTTGCACAGAGTCGGACACGACTGAAGCGACTTCGCAGCAGCCGCAGCAGGGGATGTAGGGGTTTCAGACTGTCCTGGGGGCCCACCCTAACAGCAAGGCCTTGATCTTCAGGGTTCAGGCTCTGCTTTCTTTATCCTGCTGCTGCTGCTGCGAAGTCGCTTCAGTCATGTCCGACTCTGTGCAACCCCATAGACGGCCTACACAGCGCTAAAGCAGCTGATCCTATACCATCTAAATACCCTTTGAATAGGCTTCCCTGGGGCTAAGATGGTAAAGAATCCGCCTGCAATGCAGGAGACCCAGCTTCAGTCTCTGGATCAGGAAGATCCCCTGGAGAAGGGAATGGCAACCCACTCTAATATTCTTGCCTGGAGAATCCCATGGACAGAGGAGCCTTGTCCATGGGGTCTTAGAGTCAGACATGACTGAGCAACTAACACTTTCACTTTCACCCTTTGAATAGAAGGAGTCTGCCAGAGTCAGGGTCTATGGGATTCCTATACAAAGAAGCTGAAAAAGGTTTTGTCTCATGTTTCAAATTATTATAATTCAGTCATTAACATTAGCAAAATAGCAATTCTTCATATTTTGTCAAGGATTTTTCCATTTAAGATCATGAGGGATGTTACTCTGTAATTCTCTTTTAATGTCCTTATTAGGTTTTGGTGTCAGGATTATGTTGGCCTCATAAAATGATTTGGAAGTATTGCCTTCTCCTCTGTATTCTGATGGTGTTTGTACATGATTGGTACTAGTTCATCTTTAAATGTTTGATAGAACTCACTGGTAAAACTTATCTGAGCCTGGAGTTTGTAAGAAAAGTTTGATAAGAAATTCAATTTCTATAATAGACATAAAACTATTCAAATTTTGTTTCATCATGTCAGTTTTGGAAAGTTGTTTTATAAGGAATTTGTCCATTTTGTGCATGTTTTCTAACATATTGGCAAAACATGTTCAAAATATTGCCTTGACATTTTTTTAAATGCCTGTAGAATATGTAGTAATGTTCCTGCTTTCATTTCCAATATTGATAATTTGTGTTTTCTCTCACTTTTTTTGATAAAGTCTTGCTAGGGGTATATCATACCTCTTTTTAAAGAATCAAATGTTGGGTTTGTTGATTTTTTTTTTTAAATGTTCTTTGCTTTCCATTTCTTTGGTATCTGCTTTGATCTTCATTATGTATTTACTTCTACTTTAACTTGCATTTCTTTTCATAGTTTTTAAGGTGGAAACTTGGATAATTAATTTTAAACCTTTCTTTTTTTCTCATATAGGTATGAGAAAAATTATAAGTACTCCCCTAAGTATTGAAATTATAAGTATTCCCCTAAGCATTGCTTAGGCTGAATCACAGTTTAAAATATTTTTTTCTATTTTTCTTAGATACTTAGATTAGACTTCTTAGATTCATGATCTTTTTCCTTAGATTCATATTTTAAAAAGGAATATGTTGTTTAATTTTTAAATATTTTAGGGCTTTTAAAGATAGCTCTTTGAAAAAAAATAAAAATAAAGATAGCTCTTTGTCATTGTTGGATTTCTAATTTAATTCTGTTGAGTTCAGAGAACATCTATTAGTCTTTTGAAATTGACTGACATTTGACTTATGTCCTAGTGTGTATCTTGCTGCACATGTAATACATGCTGGAAAGGAATGTATATTTTGCAGTTGTTAAGTGGTATTCATAAATGTTAATTAGGTGAAGATGCTTGATAGTATTGTAGAGATATTTTACATCTTTAGTGATTTTTTCTCCCTAGTGGATTTGTCCATTTTTCCATCTAGTTTTATCAATTTTATTCATATAGTTTGAAGCTCTGAATGCCTGCACATTTAAGATTGTCATATCTCACTGATAAATTGGCAACTTTTGATAATTTTGAAATGTTCAACTATTTCAGATGGTAGTCCTTGTTTTGACATTTGCTTTGTCTAACATTAATATAACTACTGCAACTTCCTTGTTCTTCGTTTTTGTATGGCATGCATGTTTCTACTCTTTCACTTTCACACCAGTTGTAATGTCATTAAAGAGTGCCCCTTTAGCTCAGTCTCATGATCTCTTTTTGCTGTTTACCTACATTAGTTTGCTCATCATTTATCTGTTTGTTTTGGATGTGCTGGGTCTTTGTTGCCCTGCACAGGCTTTCTCTAGTTGTGGCGAACAGCAGCTACTCACTAGTTGCGGTATGCAGGCTTTTCAGTGCTGGCTTCTGTTGTGAAGGAGCACATGATCTAGACACATGGGCTTTGGTAGTTGTGACTCTCAGGCTTAGTTGCTCCCTGGCATGTGGGATCTTCCTGGACCAGGGATCAAACTCATGTTTCCTGCATTGGCAGGTGGATTCTTAACCACTGGACCACCAGGGAAGTCCAGTCTCTGTCTTTTAATTGTAGTTTAGTTCTCCATATTTAATGTAATAATTGCTTTAATTAGGTTTAGGTATGTGCTGTGCTGTGCTTAGTCGCTCTGTCGTCGCCAGCTCTTTGCGACCCCATGGACTGTAGCTTGCCAGGCTCCTCAGTCCGTGGGGATTCTCCAGGCAAGAATACTGGAGTGGGTTGACATGCCCTCCTCCAGGGGATCTTCCCAACTCGGGGATCAAACCCAGGTCTCCCACATAGCAGGCAGATTCTTCACTGTCTGAGTTGCCAGGGAAGCCCAAGCGTACTGGATTGGATAGCCTATTCCTTCTCCAGGGGAACTTCCCAACCCAAGAATCGAAGCAGGGTTTCCTGCATTGCAAGTGGTTTTCTTTACCAGCTGAGCTACCAGGGAGGCCTAGATTTAGGTATACCATTTTACTATTTGTTTTCCATTTGTCCCATCATTTTCTTCCCTCTCTGTTCCTCCTTTTCTGCCCTCTTTTGGGTAAGTTGAATATTTTTGTATTTCATTTAATTACATTTTTATTTTTATTTCAATTTCAATAGAACTTTAAGGTACACCTTTTTACATTATATTTTCAGTGGTTACTCTCTTAATTATATCCTTAACTTGTCACAATCTGGTAAAAGTGAGCTTTGCACTACTTCATGTACAACGTAAGAATCTTAGAACAGTATAGCTCCACTTATTCTCTACTCCTGTCCTTGGTGTTATTGTTTAAATATATTTTATTTTTGTATATATTACAAATCTCACAATCCAGTGTTATAATTACTGCTTTAAAAATTCATATGTCTTTTAAAAGAAAATGAGTGGGAAAAAATAGCATCTTAAAATCCACATATTTAAATACTATTTATAATATTTGTCTTTCCTTTGTCTTTCCAGATTTGAAGTTCTATCTGGTGTTTTTTCCTAAAGAATTTCTTTTAAGCATTTCTTGTAGTGGTAGTCTTCTGGTGACAGATTTTTCTCAGTTGTTATCTGATATTATCTTTATTTCACCTTCTTTTTTTTGTATCATTGATTGATTGACATAATTTTTTTATTCTGGAGTGATATAGTCACAGGAGGTTGCAAAGATAATATAGACAGATCCCACGTACCCTTCACCCAATTCCCCTAATGGTTATATAAAATCATAGCATAGTACCAAATTCAGGAATTTTACATAGATACACAGTATGTGGCTAATTTTATGCAATTTTGTTTCTTGTATAGTTTGTATAACCACCACCACAATCGAGATACAGAACTGTTTATCACCACAAAGATCTCCCTTGTGGTACCCCTTTATAGTCATACAGACACCCTGTCTTCCAACATTCTTAACTTCTGGCAACCACCAGTCTGTTTTCCATATCTATAATTTTCTCATTTAGAGATCATTTATGTATATGGAATCATATATAGTATGTGTATGGTATCACATATGACCCTTTGGGATTGGCATTTTTTCATTTGGTATTATTTCTTTGAGGTTCATTCAGGTTGTTGCATCTATCAATAGTTTGTTTCTTTTTATTATAGAGCAGTATTCCATGGTATGGATGTACTGCTGTTTATTTAACTTGTCACTCATTAACAGATACCT